GTGTGTGTGTGTGTGTGTGTGTGTATGTGTGTGTGTGTGCGTGTATAGGTCCCCTTTGAGTGCCGGTCGTTGATAGAAACAATCAAATAATGCAGTTTCTGGGACACTTGATGAGGCGTAAAGGGCTCGGACATCAAGTTCAACAGGCAACATGGAAGAGAACGTGAAGCATGGATAGACCTTAATCAGCTTAGTTTGAAAACCCCCAAAATATGGCTGACAGAGATAAATCAGGATAAAGCAGCTTTTTTGTAAAGAATCAGAGTAAAGAAATGAATGGCGAACCATGATCGCCTATGTCAGTCGCAGGCCTGGCACTTGATAAAGTTGATGAAGATAAATTGTATAATAATAGTCACAGTTCTTCATCAATGCCATCATTGCATGGTATGTATATTACATATATATAAATATATAATATATATATATATACATATATATATATTTGTATATATATATATATATATATATATATATATATATATTTATAAATATCTGTGTGTGTATGTGTGTGTGTGTGTGTGTGTGTGTATGTGTGTGTGTGTGTGTGTGTGTGTGTGTGTGTGTGTGTGTGTGTGTGTGTGTGTGTGTGTGTGTGTGTGTGTGTGCTCAACATCAATATTGTAACAGACAAATCTAGAGGAAGGTAAACTACCTCAGATACGACAAAGTTGAAAGGAACAATTTATGAGTTGTCTCCTCTGTTCTATGTGATTCGGTATCACTGGGCAATTGCAACTTATTCAGACAAAGTAAAATAAACCACAAGGGTTGTCGTAACCCTTCTTTTCTTTAATATTTTATTACACTTTGTAATCTCTAAGTTGTTGCTGTATACTGCAAAAAATTCCGCAGTCAGAATGATGTTGGGTTTTTTTCTTTTTCTAGAAAGGTTTAATCGTAGGTAGATACTATCTTAAGCAAAGCTATGCTACATAGTTTCTTTCCATGTTCTGGAGATAATTTTACTGCACTTCCAGTAGTATTATATTGATATATAGTATGAAATATATCAATAAGAAGAGACAAGAAGATTCATCTTTACATTTTTTATTTGAATTTGTATTTTTAATTTACTTATTTCATTATTTATTTTTATTTTCAGCATGTTTCTATATTAGACTGGTGTGGCACTCATTAGTCTCTGATAACAGAGCCTTTTTGAGTGAGTATTACCCTAAAGTATTGTATTACCCTATACATCCTGAATCACCAACATTGCTTGAATTTGTTGGTGAATCTAAGCACGAAACTAGAAAATGAACGCGCTTTCTACATAACTATTTTTCCTTCAGTCATACTCGAGAGCTGGAAAGGGCAGATGGTAGAACAATGTTACTAAACACAACGGGGAGAAGAGAAGGCGCAGCATTCGTCTGGCAGGAAACACAGTACAACGGGAGCCAAAATTTTGTAACGCTAGTATGAGAGAAATCATTTATTTAGAATTTACTGACGTCTCAACCTGATTCCAGCATGAAACACACACACACACACACACACACACACACACACACACACACACACATAGAGAGAGAGAGAGAGAGAGAGAGAGAGAGAGAGAGAGAGAGAGAGAGAGAGAGAGAGAGAGAGAGAGAGAGAGAGAGTGGCACAGTCACACACACAAACACACACACACACACACACACACACACACACACACATACAAACCAACAAAACAAAACAAAGCGATCAACAGTTTGACTTAGTGCCTCGACACATTTCGCGGGGAATACTTGATATTACATCTCGTATTCTGTCCTAGAGTTCATCACATACCACTGTTGACATAAATTTAGACTCACCGCCCCATATTTCAATTTTTGTAACCACGTGTCACAAAGAGGATCCATTTTATCCTGCTGAGTAAGCACTTTGGAAAAAATGAAAAGCAACATTACTACGAAGGCGCGGGAATTCTAGTGTATATTGATCTTAGCTACAGACTTCAACATAAGTTAAGGACCACTTGCAAACACACTCTTAGTGGTCTTCTTGGGTCGACTGAAAGCCTTCTGCAACTTCTCGGGCTCCAACTCCCTGTTGCAGCCCTGCCATAGCTCTGCCACGATCAAAGTCTCTCAGCTTTCGTTTTGGTGTCATGTTGATGCCATGCAGGATTTTGGGCACACGACGGCTTATATTGCCACCAAAATGGGCACAGTTCGAGACCGTACGTCAGTTTATGACGTGCACCAGAAATTTTAACTGAAGAATGTCCGTGGTGTCGCTCACAAGTCGATAAAATTTGGCTAAAATTCCCCGAACATTTCTGTGCTGCACGTGGTTGTTTGCCGCTTTAGGCAACTTTGCAGTACGCATTGGTAACCCATTAACACTTTCAGAGCAAAAAGTTTAGAAACATAACTTGCTGTCTTTTTTTGCATTGTAAAAAAGTCAGGGCTGTCTGTCAAAGTGGTCCTTAACTTATTATGTTAAAGTCTATATAATCTTCAGCTCAGCCTTCTCCTGTGCGTCCTTTTCGAAAGAATGGCAAAACGATTGACCACTTTATTCGACAGTCTATCAAGGCACAGAAAGTGTTATACAACTCTGCTAATCGCTTCTCGTGTCTTCCAAAGATCTAATTTGAACACCTTGCTGTATGGATAATATGTAGTTATAAATTGTACATTATGTTGTATTCTCTCTTCAACATACTTTTGTGGGCTGCGGCCCTGCCTATCATAGTCAAATATATCTGAGAGGGATCCACCGTTCCTGCAAACACACAAATGTACTCCTGTTACAAAATGAAAACCTTCCTAACAAAAATCCCACTCTACAAAATGATTCACTCAGTCTAAAAAGTGTCCGCGGCCGTACGCGCTTATTCTCAAACGGCGCTGTAGTCACTGTTTTGAAGCTCTTTCGTTTCTCAAGAAGAAGAATAGGAGCAGCACCTCTTTTGGTACGCCGATCGACTGCTGTCCATACGGTCTACGATCAGCTATTCGCAAAGTAGATCTATGTGCTTATTTTCAGGGGTCGAAACCGTGATTTTGAGGATGCTTTTTTAAATTTGCCCAAAGAAAGGAATAAGGAACCATCTTGTAATGAAAGATATTTGTCGCCACCCCCCTTTCCCCCAAAGGAATTTAATTCGCATCTTGTGTTTAATACAGCGCAGCACACTAGCCACTATACCACAGACGCTGTTGGGATAATTTTACTTGTTGTTCGTAGCATTGGTAATAATTCACTAGCATTGAGCTATGCCCCTTCAGGACATAGTCAGGGTGTGGTTGAAGTCACTGCTTTACCTGTAAATGCATAGTATTACTCTGTTTTTCTTTTTGTTTTGTTCAGAATTACGTTATTTGTTAATGTTATGTCCTTGGAATATGACACTGAAGCTAATTAGTCCAGTAGTAACCTGAAAATACTGATTGCTGTGAGTACACAGAAACATTCCAGAATGTGCACTTCCTGGCATCATCTTGAATCTCTTTCGGTGTTGATAAAAGAAATAATAATAACAATAATAAAATAATTAATAACTGCAACAGCAATTTTAACA